TAAACCCTACACCCAATGCGGGGCTCTGACTCATGACCCTGAGATCAGGAGTTGTATGCTCTACCAGCTGAGCCAGCCAGGTGCCCTGCCAAATATTTGTTTTTTAATTTTTCTAATAAAAGCCTTAGAGTTGCAAGGCTTTTCCAGTCACAATGTAAGAACAGCCTATTAGAAAAAGGAGCAAGCAAACAAGAAGAAACTTGGGAAATTAAACATAAAGTTTCTGAAATGAAGCCCAAAAATGTAATGGATAGTTTAATTACATGGCGGAAACCAAACTGTTGATCTGGGAGATGAAGCTGAGGAAAAAAGAACCTGTAAGAATTCGAGCACAAAGTCAGAGATGTGCAAGAGAAGAGTTTCGAGATGAAGAGGTCAGAGCCAGATGGTCCAGAGTCCTTTAACAGAATCTAAAAGGAGAAGATAGAGACTATGGAGGAAAAGAAGAACCAAAGAAATAATGGAAGAAAAAAAAAATCCCTTGGCTAAGGGCAGATTCTTGTCTTCAGAGTGGGAGGACCCACCTGGTGTGAGTAGCATGAATGGATACATTGGAGCATTCCATAACTAAAGAGGAAAAGCAGGACTCTTCATGGCTTCCAAAGAGAAAGACTGGCAGCCTTTAAAGAGAAAGAATCCGAGGGGGCATTAACAAAATTGAATGTTAGAATACCAGGTAGTATTGTCAGAGTTCTAGGATGAAAAGAAAAAGTCTGAGCCTAGAATTCTACACCCAAGCTGAGTGGGCAAGAAAAGGAGGGTGGCTTTCAGACATGCGAGAGTTGAGGAAGTTTAGCACTGTGCAGACTCTCTAAGAAGGAGGGGGGAAACCAACAACAACATAAGGATCAGATAAAACCAAAATCAGATCCAACTAAGGGGACAACAATGAAGAAGTCATTTTTTATAACCCAGAAGTGAACAAGATCAAAACAAAATTAAAAGAAGATCTTGTATTTTGCAAGACACTCAGGTTTCTCTTCTCACTAACAAAATTTAAATGACACTGTATTACATTTCTTTTAATAGTGTTCTAGCCACGGGGAACCTGGGTGGCTCAGTTGGTTAAGTGTCTCTTTTTTTTTTTTTAAGTGGGCTCCACACCCAACACAGGGCCTGAACTCACAACCCTGAAATCAAGACCTGAGCTGAGATCAAGAGTTGAACGCTTAACTGACTGAGGCACTCAGGCACCCCCTAGTGTCTGACTCTTGATCTCAGCTCAGGTCTTGATCTCAGGGTCATGATTTCAAGCCCTTCATTGGGCTCCATGCTAGGCATGGAGTCTACTTAAAAAAAATAATGTTCTAACCACTCTACTTGGTTACAGGGAATAATATTCATATAACAATATTATTACAAATGCTATTTAGTGGTTTTTAACATTTAGACTCAATTCATAGACAAAGTATAGAAGATTTACTTATCAGTTATAAAATAGAATGCAAATGTTATATATCTGCAGTATAAAATTAATTGTAATCAAAATTAGGAAAAACTTGAAGAGGCAGGAGTATAAATGAATTAAATGTACCATCCTTCATAGGAAGGAGTTAAAAGCCTCTGACTAAAGTTTATAAGTCAAGAAATAGAAAAAACTTATTCTCCTGGTGTAGACACACACACAGAGTGGAACACTACTCAGCCATAAAAAAGAATGAAATCTTGCCGTTTGTGACAACATGGATGGATCTTGAAGCTATTATCTAAGTGAAATAAATCAGAGAAAAACAAATGCTACACTGATTTCACTGAAATGTGGAACCTAAAAAACAAAACAAAGAAAATCCAGATTCATAGATACAGAGAAAGATTGGTGGTTGCCAGAGGGGAAGGACGTTGGTGGAGTGAAATGGGTGAAGGGGACCAAGAAGTACAAACTTCTTGGGGCACCTGGGGGGCTCAGTCGGTTAAGTGCCTTCGGCTCGGGTCATGATCCCAGGGTCCTGGGATCAAGCCTTGCATTAGGCTCCCTGCTTGGGAGAGAGTCTGCTTCTCCCTCTACCCTCCCCTCCTTATGCTCTCTCTCTCTCTCTAGCTCTCAAATAAATAAATAAAATCTTAAAAAAAAAAAAGTACAAACTTCCAATTATAAAATAAGTAAGTCATGGGGATATAATGTACAACATGGGGAATATAGTCAATAATATTGTATTAATTTTGTATGGTAACTACATTTATTGAGGTGATCATTTTGCAATAGATACAAAAGCCAAATCACTACGTTGTACACCTGAAACGAAAATAATATTGTATGTCAGTTATGCCTCAATTAAAAAAAAAAAACAAAAAACGGTCTTTGGTGAAGTTGTAGTGGTAATTACCAGAACAGCTGGATGGGACAGAGACTTGATATTTCATTTTGGCCCTTCAAAGAACTTGCATATTTAAAAATCTATCTGTAAATAGCTTTTTTCTCTCTTTTAAAGAAGTTGTTAGAGGGCCTTTTGTATTTGGGGACTGTGAGACCTTGGCTTTGAACTACCCGAGGCAGGCCACTGAAAGGTAGCCTTGGGGTTCCCATGTGCCTGTGTATTAGCCCTTCTAGAATCTGGCCTTGCTGTCAGCTTCACAGCTAGACTCAAAGTAGCTGATGGGCCAGCCGGGGCCATTCCCAGAAATGTGGTTGGAGGACAGTGGTCAGAGGGGGCTTGTTTGGTTTCGTAAAGAGGTTCAGCAGAGCCCACACCTCATCCATTGTGGAGTAATTCCCTACAAGAAGGATACTCCAGGGTCTTGCTTCCGTGTCCTCCCAGAGAAGAAGCCTTTTTTTCTCCTGTGCTGAGCAGTAAATATTGATGGTGCTCAGAGCAGTCATCCTCTGGGATACAGATGACTAGGATACCTCCTCACCTTCCTTTAAATTCTCTTGGCCGTTTCTGCCGTGGAGGTGGCCGTGTGAGCCTCCACCTTTTCCATGTTGCTGGGGCTATGGGTACCAGAAACGGTCCAGGCGCTGTCATATCATGAGGCGCGCATGCTTCGTGGTGCTTCCCACATAGGCTCATGCATTTGACGGCACAGATATCCACAGACTGACAAATCCTGAGCTCCCAGGGCCGCTGACCTTCACCTTAGAGTGGTGGCCTCAACCAAGGGCAGGTTTGCTTCACAGGGGACATTTGACAATGTCTAGAGACTTTTTTTTAAAAAAAGATTTTATTTCTTTCTTTGAGAGAGAGAGAGCACGAGAGGGGAGAGGGTCAGAGGGAGAAGCAGACTCCCCGCCGAGCAGGGAGCCCGATGCGGGACTCGATCCCGGGACTCCAGGATCATGACCTGAGCCGAAGGCAGTCGCTTAACCGACTGAGCCACCCAGGCGCCCTGTCTAGAGACATTTTTGTTGTCACGCCTGGGAGAGGGGTCGGGGGTGCTCCTGGCATCTGGTGGGTAGACTGTCCCTACAGGGCAGAACAGTCCCCTACCACCAAGAATGACCTGGCACCCAATGTCGGTAGCGTCAAGGTTGAGAAGCCGATACGCTGTCTCCTGTTTCCAAGGCGTGAGCTGGTTGTGTGTCCAAAGCTGGAATGTTGATTGAAACCAAAATTCTCATTCAACATAACAAGGAAGGGAGAAGGATGCTCTAAGTAATCAAATACTCTTTTTGCCTGAAAAGCGGGAACCGCCAACCTGAGAGTTAACAGTGAACGCTTAAGGCTGACAGGATGGTTTAATCTTTGATTCAGATATTGTAGACCCCAAGGATTTTCTGTATCGTACTGGTAAAATGCGGGCGAGGAGGCCTTTTGTGGGTAGCAGCCTGGATGATTTACTCAGGGGGATTTCTAAACACGTTGGGTTGGGTGTGTGTTTTCTCTGCAGACATTTTTTTCCTTAATTCTCTTTTTAAAGTTACTTGAAGCCCATCCTCACACACAGTGGCCCCCCGTTGACCACCACGCTCCCAGCCTGGTGTAGCCTGCTTGCTCGGTGTCTGACCAGTCCCCAGGTGTACGACGTAAGTACGGCGCGTCAGGGGCGTTTTCCTGCTCACTGGGTCTGGGGAGTGTCTTCCCCAGGAAGAGGAAACCTGTTGCTCGCAAGCGTCCAAATCCATGGGTTTTGCATCTCTAAATAAGATGATTAGAAATGGCCAACTTATG